TATATATATATATATATAAATTAGCTTGCAAGAGTTATAAATATGACATATTAGAATAAATGTATACACGTAAGTGATGTATAAAAATTACCGTGAATATGAAATGATTTTCAATGAATAACTTAGATTATTTAAATGATTAAATAGAACGTACCTATTCTTAACGCGACGTCTCACGTCGCTATAAATACGGAATATCACATAAACGATGCCAAAAAAATGCGTAAGCCGTATCCTACACAATCATCAAAATACGCGCGGGAAAACTCCAGACTTTTCCATAATAACACTGCAATTAATAATAAACAATTAAATATCAACAGGTTTAAATAACTTTTAACTTTATTATCGATTAAAACAAATCTATTTGAACGAACAAATTAATCATATAAAGAGACGTTTGCTTGACGTAAAATCTTATGTATCAGTCCTATGCACGAAACACCACCGCCATCTTGTCTATCGCCTACCACCATTACGTCATTTTTCCGAAGTCGTTGATATACCGTCCGAGAAAATTTCTCCACCCTGTTTGTCCTCGTTTTAAGAAAAAAAAAAAAAAATTAAAATAAAAAAAATACAATACTACATTGAAACGTAGTAACATTTTTATTAAAAATATATATATCTACGCGTTGATAATTGTCGTCAACTTCGTTATCGATAATGATAATAATAAAAAAAACAATAACATACAGGATCGCATATCATAAAATTAGAAATTAGTTCGATTCGTTACGTTCGATTTTGGAACGCGAACAAATTTGGATTTATTTTTCTTTTTTTCCTATATCTATTTTTGTTTTATTATTATTATTATTATTATTATTATTATTACTTTTGTATATATATATATATTTTTTTTTTTTTCATTGGTGTTTTTATTTCTCTCTTTGTTTTTCACGAGAGGTTATATTCTTTCAGTGAAAGAAATTAACCTCTTCATCCTTTTCGCGCGTTAACGCGGAAGTGTTGTATCGCGGTATATATTTCGTATATATATGTGCGTGTGTGTCGTGAATATGTATATGTGTCCGTGTATATAGTTTTTACTAGCTCATTCGTCGTCGTCGTCGTCGTCGTCGTCGCCGTCGTCGTAGTGTCGTTGTCGTCGTCGGCGGCTTTGACGACCGTTGTGAATTTTCACCAATGGCGCATGCACGGCTCAGCTGTCCGCGTTTGGGATTAATCCGCGCTGAAAGATAATGCTTTTTATAGTATTTTTATTCGATTAGAGTTTAAGTGGTGGGACGTAGGTACTGTGTGGTATAATTGTGTGACGCTTTAAGTTAACGTGGATTTACCTTTATTTTCCATTCGTCCTCCTCCTCCTCCTCCTGCTCCTCTTCCTCATCCTCGTCTTCGTTGTCGTATCTACGATATCGAGCATTGAAAATGTAGGAAAAGAGAAGAGATAAAATTCTATCGTGATCAACTACGAACGAGCACTTGCTGTATTATAATATACCTATAAATGATTATAGTGTTTGATGTCATACGATTTTCATGTTGATTTCTCGATCGTGGAATATCTTAGTCATTTTCGTTTAACTATGTCTATTACGACACACGTTTCGAATTTTTTCTTTCGTCAGAAGGTCTACGCGTAATACTTTGAGATCCTTGATCAAGAAACATCTCTAACAAAAGATTTCCTATATCAATTGTATCGTCTATTGTATATGTTCAATTCTACCTGTAATAACACTTAAGTAAGGATCCTATTTCTTCATATTTTATTTTTTTTTTTTTACAAAAGAAAACAAAAAACCACTCCAATTCGAGTAATCAACATTTTTCATAACACGTACAAGCAATGCTTTTCTCGATTCGAACGTACCGTTTGTCTTTCATCAATCAAACGTGTCGTTACGATATCGGTTGTGCCAACAAGTCGTTGCACATTGACTGGATACATGTGTTTTTCAAAAATTTACCTCTACTACTTCATCGTTCTGACATCGTATCTAATTAAGTAATGTAATGGTGCTACGTTACTTCTCCTACTCATCAAATGTAATTTATTATTTTATATACTTCTTTGTTTATATATTTGTATACATGTATTATTTGATTTTAATTCTACTCTTTGTGGTACACAGGGAAAATGGACTAATGCACCAAGAAAAGAGTATATTGTTGCGGCATTGTAGCCTTAACTCCTAACAGGAGAAATGGAAATAATAAGAGATGAGGATAGGCGCAGGCGCCTGAGATTGTTGGAGGAACGTATTAAGGATCCTAGAAGTGTGACTAATATCGACAGTTTGTTAGATACGGTCCAAGCGCTTGTTGCAGACTGTGATCATCCTGGTGTTAAGCGTATGAAGAATATAGAAGCCTATATGAATAGATGTAATTATTATTCCTATACATTTATTAATTTTATTTAAATGCAAGTAAAACATACATTAAACAGCTAACAATTAATTATCTTTTTATTACAGATGATTCCGTCGCTCAAGATATTTGTAAAATGCGAATGCGTATCGATGACTTTACTTTGATTAAAGTTATAGGACGTGGTGCATTTGGTGAAGTTCAACTAGTTAGACACAAATCTACTCAAAAAGTCTATGCTATGAAATTACTCAGCAAATTTGAAATGGTAATTCACGTTTAATAATTATTGTTATTATGTTTATATATAAGCTCGTTTTTTTTAATTATATTTATTTATTGTTTTATTTTGATAATTGATAGATCAAGCGTTCGGATTCAGCCTTTTTTTGGGAAGAACGAGATATTATGGCTCACGCTAATTCGCAGTGGATAGTTCAACTACATTTTGCTTTTCAAGATCAAAAGTATCTCTACATGGTAATGGATTATATGCCAGGTGGAGATTTAGTTAATTTGATGTCTAATTATGATGTACCAGAAAAATGGGCCAAATTTTATTGTGCCGAAGTAGTGCTCGCATTAGATGCAATACATCGTATGGGATTTGTACATCGAGATGTCAAACCAGACAATATGCTGCTTGACAAGCATGGCCATTTGAAACTTGCAGATTTTGGCACGTGTATGAGAATGGATGCTGTATGTATTATGCTTAAATATGATATTATTTATTTTTTCATTGTCAATAAATTTAATTTGTAATGTATGTGTTTGTATAATACAGGATGGATTGGTTCGTTCTGATACTGCAGTAGGTACACCTGATTATATATCACCCGAAGTACTTCAATCACAGGGTGGAGAAGGTGTATATGGTAGAGAATGTGATTGGTGGTCTGTTGGTGTATTTTTATATGAAATGCTCGTTGGGGACACTCCATTTTATGCTGATTCATTAGTTGGAACATATTCGAAGATTATGGATCATAGAAATGCACTACATTTCCCCCAGGAGCTTAACATTTCGCATTATGCAAAAAATTTGATATGTGGCTTTCTCACGGATAGAACTAAACGGTTAGGAAGAAATGGCATGGAAGAAATCAAAAGCCATCCATTCTTTAAAAATGATCAGTGGACTTTTGAAAATTTAAGAGAATGCGTACCACCCGTGGTACCCGAATTATCAGGAGACGATGATACCAGCAATTTTGATGATGTCGATAAAGAAGATGGACCGGAGGAAAGTTTTCCAGTACCAAAAGCATTTTCTGGAAATCATTTACCATTCATAGGTTTCACATATTCGGGAGATTATCAATTATTAGCTATTAATGGGAAAGAATCTGTAGATGGTTTAGAAAATCATATTAATAATGGTACTAACGATGATGCCAAAATCTCACAGTTAGAAAATTTATTAGAACGAGAAAGAAGGCAAATTGAATCTATGGAAGCAAGACAAAGAGCTTTGTCCGTTCAATTAGAAACCATGACACGCAGGGAGACTGAATTACGTGAAGAGGCGGGAAGAGCAGATAAAGAGTTAACTTTATTAAGACATAATTATAAAGAAGCACAAAGGAAAGTAGATCATGAAACAGAAGCTCGTAGAAAGGCAGAATCTTTATTAATGGAATTAAAAAAGAAATTTGACGAGGAACAATCTAGGAGAGCACGAGACGCTAGTACTTCACAACAGACATTTGAACGTGTTAACACATTAGAAAAACAAATTAAAGAAATGCAATCTAAATTGGAAAGAGAAACGGAGACAGTAACGAGATTACGAAAACAAGCTACTGAAATTACTGTAGCTCGTCAAGCTGCCGAACAAATGGCTAATGAACTGCAAATTGCAAGAACTCAATTGCAAGCTCAGCGAGATACCTTACAGCAAGAAGTTGCCGCATTGCAAGTAAGATTTAGAAATTTATAATTAAATTTTTTATAGTCAAATTATGTAATATGTATATTACTTTTGTTCTCTTTTTCTTTATAGGGTCAACTATCAAAAGAACGTAGCTCTCGATCACAGGCGTCGTCTTTAACAGTAGAACTAGAAACGCGTTTATCTGCTTTACACCTTGAATTGAAACGTAGTCATGAAAAAGAAGAGAAAGCTACTTTGGACAACAGACAGCTAAATGAAAAAGTATCGGCATTAGAAAAAGAAACAGCAAGTTTGACGCTTGAATTAAAAGCTGCACAAGCTAGGTATAATCAAGAAGTTGTTGCACATCAAGAGACGGAAAGATCACGTATACTATCGAAGGAAGAAGCAAATCTGGAAGTTGTTAAAGGTATCTATATTATATAAATATATTATTCATCTATCAAGTACAACAGTTTCATAAAATATATTATACCTTTACTTAAACGTACATCACAGGACATCATAATGGAATATTCTCAGGTAATAATAGTTATAATATTTGTTGTGTCGTTTCATCCGTTTAGTATCGTTTAAATGATTGTCAATTAATCTAATAAAAATTTGATACTTTTTATTGCATTCATATTGGTGATGATCTTCCTTTATGTATGTATATTATAATCAAGAATTATATGTTGACAATGAAGAAAATAGAATTTTTAATGATATATTATTATTATCTTAAACAGCTTTACAAGCAAAATTGAACGAAGAGAAGAGTGGTAGACAAAAAGCGGAATTACTTGCACAAGAAAAGGAGAGACAAACTTCTATGCTATCGGTGGACTACAGACAAATCCAGCAACGTTTGCAGAAACTTGAGGGTGAACACAGACAAGAAGTGGAAAAAGTTAAAGTACTTCAGGGCCAGGTTGAACAGGAACAACAAAAGAGAAATGTTCTTCAAACTGATTTGGCACAACAGTCCTCGGAAGCTGGAAGATTACGTGCTAGGGAACAACAGTTAATTGGTGAAGTAACTCAATTAAGAGAAGCCAAACGACAAATAGAGGAAGAATTACATCATTTGAAGACTCAAAGAAATGTTGATCAGCTACAGACTAAAGAATTACAAGAACAACTGGAAGCAGAAGCTTACTTTTCGGTAAATATATATTTATCATTATTATTTTTTTTTTTAAACAAATAATATCCATTGTTATTTCAACGAATACGTTTATGTTTAATATATAGACTCTTTATAAAACACAAACTCAAGAATTACGTGAAGAGCTTGAAGAGAAAACGAGATCACAGCAGGAGTTGGAAGAAGAACGTAGTTCTTTGGTTCATCAATTACAACTTTCTTTAACCAGAGGAGATAGCGAAGCATTGGCAAGATCAATAGCTGAAGAAACTGTGGCTGATCTTGAAAAAGAACGTACCATGAAGGAATTGGAATACAAAGATGGAGTTGCTAAACATCATCAGGAATTGAATGCTAAAGAACAGATTATAAACAGACTTAAAGATGGGGAAGCGGAATTAAAGAAATCTGTCGAACAATATATTAAAGAGAAAGAAGACTTGAATAAACGGGTGAAAGAACTTCAAGAACAACTCAATAAAGCACAATCTAATGCTGAAGAAATAGAAAAACTCAGTAGTAAATTAAAGACTGAGCAAGTGCTTAAACAACAAGCTGTTAATAAGTTGGCTGAAATCATGAATAGAAAAGATGTATCATCTACTGGTAAAAATAAGAACAAAGCATCTGCTACGGATCTTAGAAAGAAGGAAAAAGACTGTAGACGCTTTCAGCAAGAACTTACTCAAGAACGTGAAAAATATGGACAATTGGCAGCTAAATGGCAGAAGGATCTACAAGATTTACAAGTAAGATCATTTTTAATCTCTTTTATATAAATGAAATATCTTTTTACACATTTTTAATAAATGATATATATATTTTAATAAACAGGCACAACTCGTGGAAGAAAATCAAGCAAAATTGAGGCTACAAATGGAATTGGATTCAAAGGATTCGGAAATTGAAACGTTGCAAATGAAAATAGCTAGCGTCAATTCAGAAACAGCAAGTGTTTCTTCCGTTGAAAATGATGGAGAAGATTCCGTTTTATCCGAGCACGGTTCTATGAGATTAGAGGGTTGGTTAAACGTGCCAAACAAACAAAATATTAAGAGGCATGGTTGGAAGAAGCAATACGTGGTCGTTTCATCGAAAAAGATCATTTTTTATAATAGTGAAAACGACAAAATGAACGCCGATCCAGTTTTGATATTAGATTTGAGTAAAGTATTTCATGTTAGATCTGTCACGCAAGGTGATGTTATCCGCGCCAATGCCAAAGATATTCCTAGGATTTTTCAGGTAAATTATTGGATAATCTTTATTATAAAACATAACATCTAATAATTATTAAAATAATGATTATTTTGTATTATCATTCGTGTAGTTACTTTATGCTGGTGAAGGTGAAGCTAGAAGACCTGGGGACGAAGGTAATGCATTATCTGGAATAGAATTACCACAACTTACAGATAAACCTGGTACTCAACAATTGAAGGGTCACGAATTTGTTTCAATATCTTATCATATGCCAACTGCTTGTGAAGTTTGTTCTAAACAACTTTGGCATATGTTTCGTCCATCTCCAGCATTGGAATGTCGAAGTAAGTTAAAACAAAATTAATGAAAAATTAATGATATTTTTTTTTATTTTTTTTTTTTTTTTTAATGTAACACACAAATTGTAATATTAATTTTTCATATAACATTATTATTGTATAGGATGTCGTATAAAAGTTCATAAAGAACATTTGGAAAAGAAAGAAGATGCCATAGCTCCGTGTAAATTACATTATGATCCAAACAGTGCACGAGAATTGTTGGTCCTTGCGGGAAGTCCAGAGGAACAAAAATATTGGGTTACAAGATTATCTAGGCGTATACAAAAGTGTGGTTATAAAGCTAATTCACATGTCGATGGCACAGGACAACGTGTCTCGCCAAGGTAGCGTAGCCGTGCAGCTCAACGTAGCCAGGGACTAAATAGATCTCGTGTATTGTGGCATCGCATGATCGGGTTTAGAGAGGTTAGAGTTGTTTCATTATTTCCCCATTTCTCTTCATAAACATCTCTTTCTATAATTACTAAAAATATGAAATAGAGTCAATATTTCTAAGTGTGCAAGAATCACAGAGTGAAAAAAAAAATTAAATCTATTGTTCGGAGAATATGTGAAGGACAAGGAAATCATCCAGGTTGGCCACCAATAACTGTGTTCGTTGTGTTTACTGAAATAAATAGGGATCGTATTAGCTTTCTTTTTTTTTTATATATATATATATACACTGCATGACCAGCATATGAAAGAAAAACAATGCAATTTTTATTTGAAAATTATCTAGGATAATATTTAGATAGAAAATGGTGTTCAGATGTATTGTCCTTTTTCAAGTAAACCGAAATGAAAGCATGAAACAAGAATCATTTTAAAATGAGAATATTCAAGATCATACGTTTTGAAAGCTTTTATTATCATGTTAATGGGCCAATAATAAATTTATTAATCCTTTCGATACGACTATATGTTGTTCATGAGTATAACAAATGAAATATTATATCACAATACATTTCAAGATATTCACATTTATATTTATACAAATTTGAAGCTGATGCTAAATGTCTATGAATGGATGGATGGATGGATGGTAGTATCTAAAGGATTAATATGCATATATATTTTTGGAAATTGCTGATACGCTTTTGGAGCTTCTTTACAATATATCGGGCATTGATAGTTATTTTTGTTTGTTTTTGTTTTGTTCTTTTTGGGAATGCATTTTTGGACACTCGTCATTTTATTTGTGCCGTTCAATTTGTAGATATATATAAACGATAGAATAAATATTCTAATATTTCTTTATTAATATGATTGTTCTATCTTTTTTTTAGGGAATCAACAAGATCGACGTTAAAGCCATATTTATCGGTGCAACAACGCTCAGCAACATTGCCAGCAAATGCCAGTATGGGCAAGTGACCTTAGCTTGCATTGATAATTCTTCTTCAATCGTCAGTGCACTTGATATTGTTATCATTTAGTCCTTCTTTACTAAGGTTCGCGTTACTTTAGTCAAACAAGCGTCGCATCGGTTGATTTTTCACTTTGTACACCCGATGATGATGATGAAGATAATGATAATGATAATGATGAAGATGATGATGAATGAATGATGATCATGATTTATTAAGTTCATTATTCTCACATACATTTTCCAGAAGCCATGTGTTTCAGAGTCTACTACTGCTACTTCTAGTACTACTACTACTACTACTACTATTACTACTTCTACTGCTACTACTACTACTACTACTACTACTGCTACTGCTGCTACTACTTACTTGTAGTTCCATGTGTTTGTGTCGGAATTAGCGATCAAAATACATTGTTAACAAATATCATATTAGTTGGAAAACAAAAAAAGATGGAAGGAACAACATAATAAGAAGAAATGAATTAACGACAATTGCGATATAAACCGGATATTTAATTAATCGGTTATATTATAGCAATGAGATCAAATTCTAATCAAGTCCCAGAGCTGTATGGAAAAAACAGGGTTAATAGGATATACCAACAACAACAATAATAACAACAACACAAGTGGAGTTTTAACAAACAAACAAACAAACAGAATAATAACCATTACTTATTCCAAAATATAACAGCACGTTATATGTTGAAAATCAAGGAAACTATAAAAGTAATGCGAATGGGGAAAAGGATAAGAAAAGAACGAATGACAATGATGGAGTCGTTATTTATAATAACAAGTTTTATCGACATGAATTATTTTAACAACAAATTAGCGAAGAAATGAAATAACCTACTAACAACATCTGCGATCAAGAAATCAAAGTGAATGTATTTATGCAGCCTTCTTCTCTTATTCATCTTTGGTATTAATTTGACTAAAAAAAAAAAAAAAAAACAACAAACAAAAACAAAAAATTCATTGTATTATTATGACAAATGACTTTATCCATTTGTCGAAGGATACTCGATTTGTTGAAACTTTAATTAATTGATTAGGCATATCACATATTCATTATATATTGTATATGAATGCTTAACTTTAATGTTCTTTGTACATATATACTTTCTTGGCACCATATCCAAGGGATCAAACGGTGAGGTGCTTTATTCATTTTATTTTATTTTATTTTATTTTATTAATTTTATTATTTTCCGTTTCTTATTCTAAACGTAGAGAAAATCAAGATGGATATAATCGAGCATTATTTGCTTGGAATACTATAACGAGTATATATATATACATATATATATGTATATATATCACAGGATTGATAGTATTATATTATTAAAAAAAAAAAAAGAAAAAAAAGTTTTTATATTTTTTCGAAAGTAAAAAATATTTAAATTCTTACTGGGTACATCGAATTAAAGTAAAAAAAAAAAAATAAAAAAAAAAAAAAAAGAAAAGAAAAAAAAAAGAATAAAAAAAACTTTATAAGAAGAGACAAGTTTATCGCGCTTCTTGCTCGTAATACGTGGATCATCGAAGAAAAAAAAAAAACAGCTGCCAAAGTTTTGTTTCTTTGCTTAATATTTGTTTTCTTCTTCTTCTTCTTCTTCTTCTTCCTTTTCTTATTCTTTCTTTATTAAAAATCTCCTTTTTTTTATGCATATTATATATATATATTTTTTTAACGCGTAGTTTGTGACACTTTCGCGTTAATAAAAGTTTTTTTTCTCTTTTTTTTTTCTTTTTTTTTTCTTTTTATACAAACGAAAGTAAATGAAAAATTTTTTCTAAAAAGATTAATTATATATATAAAAAAAAAAAAAACAACCGATATATATATATATATGATAAATAAGAATAAAGAGAAAATATGAATTATCAAAATCACAGCACAACGATGAGTGCTTAGAAAAAGAAACAAAAAAGAAAAAGAATTAATTAATTATTTAATTAATTAAATGGATACACACACACAACAAAAAAGTAAAAGTAAAAGAGTAAGTTTAAAAGAAAATGAATAATTAACAAAACAAAAAAAAAAGAAAAATAAACGCTAGGAAAAAAGAGCGAGCGCTTCGTTGTACAGTAGATGTAATTATTTACAGTTATGACCTACGAAAGTTTTAAAATATATATATAATTATATACGAGAGAAAGAGAGCGAGAGAAAGAGAGCGAGAAAGCGAGCGAGCGAGCGAGAGAGAGAGAGAGAGTGTGTGTTCGCGCGAATTTTTGAAATTGAAATTAAAATAAAAAAAGGAAAAATATTAATAATAATTATATTAATTATAATAATAATAATAATATTAATAATAATAATATTAATAATGCATAATTTTGAGAAAGGAAGATAGAATAAAAGAAAGAAAGAAAGAAAGAGAAAGAGAGAGAGAAAAAAAAGAGAGAGAGAGAGAGAGAGAAAGGCTTAGGAATTTTATCGTGCGTGTGCCCTGCGTTAGAAAATAGAAGTAAAAAAAAATAAAAAACGTGGCACCTGACGACAAAAAATTAGTACATATTATATATATTATTATTACATACATATATATATAAAGAAAGGAACAAAAAAAAAAAAAACAAAATGAAAAAGGATAAACGTACGAGTAATTAACGCGTTGTCGCCGCTTGTGTTCTTAGAAAAAAAAAAAACAAAACAAAACAAAAAAATACTAAAAACAAATATTAGAAAAGGGTACTCCTCTCTCAACGATGCGTGTTCAAACTTTTTACGTTTTTTTTTTTTGCATAAAATAATAATAATAATAATATTAATAATGATGATGATGATGATGATAATGATGATGAAGGGGGGATGTCCATATAGGATGATAGAAAGAAAAGAAAAAAATATGGCGTACGACTTTGACGCATCTCAGTCGTCTTCTGTTTCCCTCACTTCCGTTTTTTTCTTTTTTTTTTTAATTTCTTTTATCTAATTAATGAAATTATTTAATTAATTAATTAATTGTACACGCTTAAAAAAGAAAAAAAAAGAAAAGAAAAAAAAGAAAAACGAATTCTCTTTGAGAGTTTGTTTGTTTGTTTTTTCTTTTTTTTTTTCTTCATGATGCGAGAATTGCGACACGGTGCTCCCCTCTCTCATATTTTACGTGGATTATCATTTGGAATAGAAAGAAAAAATCAAAAAGTAACGGTAAAGAAAAGAAAGTGTGTGGAACTTTTGAAAAAAAAAAGATAAAAACAAAAATATAATGTTTATAAGAAAACAAATAAAATTAACACACCAATATACAAACAGAGGCTGCAGGAAAAAAGAAACAAAGAAAAGAAAAGAAAAGAAAGTAAAAATGGACTACTAAAATGTGTTGTTGTTTCTTTTACTTTTTTTTTTT